CCCCTCCTCGGTCTCCGCGTTCGGTCTCTCGCTCTCCCACCCTTTGTCGCTCGCTCTCCTGTTTGATTCCCCTCCAGTTAAAAAAAAGGAGCCAATTAAAGGCAGCCCAGCTCGCCAGGCCCAGCCTCTGTCCAATTTCCTCGCCTCCCCCAGGACCAATTAGAGAAAACAAAACAGGGCTGGGGGAAGCAGACCGCCTGCTTTCTTCTCTCTTCTCCCCCTGCTCGCTCTCTTCTCTCTCTCTCTCTCTCTCTCTCTCTCTCTCTCTCTCTCCCCCTTCTCTCCCTCTCCCCCCTCCCTCTCCCTCTCTCCCTCCTTCTCTTTCTCCCCCACTCGCCCCCCCCGCAGGAAAATGTCAGAAAGCAGAAATGGATCCATCTATCCCGGGGACGGCGGCGGAGGGACATGGGCTCCGGCACGGATCCGCAGCCGCGCTCGCACGCTCGCTCGCCGCCCGCCCCGCGCACCCATCCACTGGCTGCCCGCGCCAGGCGCCCCGACCCCAGCACGCTCGCTCCGGGGACCCACGCCTGCAGGGCGCCGCACACTTCGGAAATGTTCTGCACTTTGGGGAGGCGGGACTGAAGCGGGGATCCGAGGGAAAGGCCGGGCCGCCCGCTGGCGGTCGGCAGGGCCGTCTGCCCGGCTCGGGAGTCCCCGCTTCCCCGGCCGGGCCCCCGCCCCTTTCCCCGCGCCTGGGCCCCTCCCCGGGTCGGGCGCGGGGCCGCCGCCGGAGCGGCGGGCGGAGCCGCGGGAGGAGAGGTGGCGCTTGGAGCTGCGGCCCTGGCGGCGGCCCACAGGTTGCCAGCAGGCTCGCCCGCAGGCCCCCTCCGCCAGCGCGCCCCCTGGCCAGCCCACGCTCTCGGCTCGTCCCTCTGCCCGTCCTTTCTTCCCTCCCAACCTCAGGCGGCCCCAAGCGCCCCGGGGGCGCACCTCCTTCCGACTGCCGTGCCCCGGCTGGCCCCAGCCGCGGGAGGCTAGCACTCCGGGTCTCCGCGGCCTCTCCGGGGGCCCTCCCGGACCACGCGTGGACACAGCGCTCCTTCCCACGCCCGCGGGGAGGGGCGTGGGCTGGGCAGCGAGGCGGGCGGCCTTCCCCCGCGCCTCGGATCTTCCCCCTACCCCGGGTCCTGCTAATCTCACCTGCTCCACCTGTCGCCGTTATTTATCTCGGCGTGTGCGCAGGGAATGTATTAGGGCGGCCCGTGGGAGCGCGGACAACGGCAGCAGCTACCAAGCGGGGGGAATGACAAACCCTCCTCTCCTCACCCCGCGGAACTGTTCAGTATCTTGACTGTGATGGTGATTCCACGACTCCATTCACTGGTCAAAACTCAAAGACCTGGACACCAAAAAAGGAGTCATTTTCCTGCATGCAAATTAAAACAAAAATTTAAAAATAATAGTGAACCGCGCCTTCCCCAGGCCCATGTCCTGCTAGGTCCCTCCACCTATGACCCTCGGGACTTAGCCCTACAGGAATGCGTGCTCCCAACTGCCGGGAGGGGGACGGCCTGGAGGGCGCTCCGTCAGCTGACACCTTCTCAGCCCCCTTTCGGTGCATCTCCGGAAGTCCGAGGACACCTGAAGACTGATGCTGCACTCTTCGTCCCTTCCCCCCTTTTCTCTCTCCTTCCTTTAGCGTGGGCCCAACGCTGAGCAAGGAGATCCCGACCCATCTCAGGGCTGAGCACCCAGCAGATGCCAGCTGAAGGTGTGTGAAATGAATCAATGAATGATGCCCATCAAAGGCCGGATACCACAAACCTAGGATACCTAGTGTAGCCATCCTTTCTACGCTCCATCTCCTAGTCATTGCTCCAAAGGAAAAACATTCATTTCCTGCCCCACAGAGACACAGAGCTATCCATGCCTCTTCCCACCCACCTCTCCAACCCAGTCTGAAAAAGGAAGTGGCACCAGCTGAGGCTGTGATGATGAGTAGCTTGTCACCTTCTTCCCATTATTGGACCGTTCCTAGAAATTCTCACCTCCTCCAGGAAGCTTTCAGGGAATGACCACAGGGATTCTGACTCTCCCTGTCTTCCTCACTCTGAGCTGAGTGGGCATTTCTCCATGTTATGGGAAATTGCTATCCTATTTTCCAATTCACTGTTCCAGACCCAAACAGCAGTCAACCACTCCTCTTTGCCTTTGGGGTGAGTAGCTGACTCTGCTGACATTGTCTTGAGTCTGTCCTCTCTGAACACACCCTGGCCTGGAGGGGACAGAAGACTCACAGGGAGGGAGGGGAGAGAAGGAGAGGGGAGCAGAGGACCAGATTCCAGCCAGGCGGGGACTGAACGTTTGCCTTAGCTAATCCACTTGTGAATACTCTGCAGCTAATTGTATGCAGTGTAAATACCTTGACAGCCTGTTTGTGTGTGCTTGTAAATTCAGTCATCTCCTCCCCAAGTGTGCCCTGCCTGCTGCCTTGATAGAGCCCATTGTCTGACAACAAGAGGCAACTTGGGACAAGGGAAAAGGCACTAAATGTGGGAGCCATCCATCCTGTGTTCCCATCCTAACTTCTCTAGGCCTCCGTTTTCCCAGATGTAAAGTAGGTAGGACTCTTCTATCTCACAGAGTGGTCGAGAGAAGGAAGTAATAGTAATAATGATACTGACACCACACAGCAAGTACTGTCCTATGTAGGAACTATTCTGTCCTCACAACAACTATGCACACGGGGCTGTTATTCTAACAGAACAGCGTGGAAAGATTTAGTGACTCACATGGCTACTAAGTGGCCAAACTGAGCTTTGACCGAGGTACGTGGGCTTGAAAACCACGCTCTTTCCCTCTAATCTACTCTGAGAAGAGGTCAGGGGTGAGTGAGGTACTTAGTAATGTTTTACAAGAAGTGTTTACTGTTCTCTTCACACACAGAATCTTCACACACAGAAAGAACATTCTCTGGACTCCAAACCCAGATAAGGGAAGGGGCACAGGAGTTAGACCGCTAGACTTGGGGTAGGCCTTGGAGCATAGGATCAACCTGAGGCCGGACTGCCTGGAGGTTTGCCTGAGGCTGGGCTGCCCGAGGTTCAGAGGAGGTTCAGTGATCAGCACCAGGCTGCCAAGTCTTGGATTCCACCCAGCATGCTCTAAATCACTTCCTATCAAAAAACAAACAAATAAAAACAAACCACACACAAAGAACAACAACTAAAATAGCACCATTCTTCTGCCTCAGAGAAAGCCTAGCCTTGGGCCCTGAGAAATCTCAGGAACTGGCTGCTGACTAAAGATTGTGTGACCAGCAAGGGAGGCAGAAGTTCCAGGCCTTGGTCAAGCAGGGCAGCTGTGTGAGAGTGTGTTACTAGAAAGCCCTCCCATCTCCTCCTGCCAGTAGCTCACCTCCTGGAGCTAGTTCGGAAGAAGAGATGGCGAGAGAGAGAGAGAGAGAGAGAGAGAGAGAGAGAGAGAGAGAGAGAGAGAGAGAGAGAGAGAGAGGAAGAGTCTTTGCTGGGGCGATGTCACCGCTTGGCGAGAGAAATTGTATCTGAAAATCATACAGTGGCAGGTATTGATTCAATCTCAAAGCAAGACGCTTTCTGGTCAGGTGGAAGAAGGCTGACTGGGAAGGGAAGAGGAACGGAGAGTTATGACCCCACTGGAAGACCAGTTTATTAATTCAGGCTCTAACAAATAGCCAATTAATGGCTCCTGCTGCTAATTAGTAAGCAGTTAACTCTTGTTATAAATTGTGCAGCTCACGACTGATGATAATGCAATCTGGCCATGACACCTTGGAGAGGAGGAGCCTCATAGGCTCCCGTAACCCACACCTCTCCCTCCTCACCCCATCACCCCACAGGCCTTCTGCTGGTAGAATGCGGGCTTCGTGAGAGCAGGAGCCTTGTCTACATGTTCGCCATTCATTCACTTAACAAATATTTGAGTGCCTACTATGTGCTCTATGTACTCTAGGCACTGCAGACTCAATGTGAAAAAAACTGAGAAGAATCCTTGCTTTCATGGGGTTTCTAGTCTAGTGAAGAGACAGACAATAGACTACACAAGTAGGGAAAATGAACAGTATT